TGATGTAAATCACTACTGTTGCATGAACTCTAATTTAAAATACTGTGAAATATTTCTATAATGGATACAATATTTTTGTTATGACAGTGGTTGAGTTTTCCAGAAGAAGGCATTATCTTTATGTTTGCACACAGATTGGTGGCGCTTACATTTCAGTTTTCATTTAAAAATCATACTTTTAGTTGTTGATGTGAAAAACAATCAGTTTTTTAGAGTTCAACTTTTTTTGTGGTTAAATATTTTATGCATAAACTTTGCTGAGTCAAATGCCTTTATTTTACAAAGAAGAACGCCTAAAACTACATCTAGTTTGTTATTTCTCCTCTGAATTTTGCTGAAATGACCAACATGGTTGGATGTTTCATGCATTCACCTTCTCTTTCTGTTGAGCATTTAAACCACTTTCACCATCTGAAAAACTGTTAAAATAATCACAATTAAGAAGAGAGAAAAATGTACAAACAAAATGTCAAAAATATCTATTTTGACAAAAAAATTAATTTTAAGATAAATTATTTTAAAATGGGTTTAAAATGGGGTTGTTGAACATCTTTCGGGTGGTTTCTTGTCAAATAAAGTATTTTGAGTGACATGAGTTGTGTCTGTCCCAAAGAACTTGTGCTGAAAAGCGGCAAAAATGTAAGAAAAAGTAAAGAATATGTTTAAAAAGACTAAAACAAATAGGTTAGACTTAAAAAAATAAAATAACATTTTAAGAAAGGTAATTTCTTCTGTCCCTCGTCAATCCAGTAAGTTACGTTTTATAATGTGTTATTTTGTAGGTTTGGTGCTTACACATTTAAAATAAATCAAAGAAACTTAAACACGCTGTTTTCAATCACATTAGTGATTTATTTTTAAAAAACGGGAAGAAGAATCCCTTAATCCGAACTCCGTGGCCGCTAGGGGGCGGTGTTTCGTTTCAAAGCTGTTTTCCAACTGCTTTTACCTTAGTAGTAGTAATAGAAGAAGAACGAAAAGCTCACGTGTCCGAGCACACCTGAAGGCATCGCGGCGGCCGCGGTTTCAGCTGTCAGTAACTATAGGAGCTCCTCTGATGCACAGACGCATCGGGAGGAGTTTTCTGGGTCTCCGGACAACTTCCGCTCTACTTTAATTTCTTTAACACGCGATTTGTAACGGTTCGTGTCTGAGCACAGCTCAGGAAAGATGCGTGTTTGCGTTAGCAAGGGGCTAGCGTGCACTTCTGACTAACAGCCGAATCCGAGCGCTTCCTGGCGGCTACGACAGTGACTGAAAGCCGGTCCAGCATGGAGAAGATGAAGCAGCAACTCCGCTATCTACAAGACCCCAACCTCGTCGCCCGCTTTCAGCACTTGTGCGGGGTACGGGGGACTTTTCCCGGAGCCGTTTGTGCGGACAGTTGTAAGCCAGCGGACCAGACTCACTCACACAACAACGGGGTTTTCCATCCCCACATAACCGAAAGTTTAACGGGAGCAGGAGAAAGTATTCAGCCGAGGAGGAGGATTGGGGATGCGTCTACAAATCTAAAACACGAGATAGGAAATGCATCCCAGAACGGAGCCGCTGCGTCCGTGGCGGCATCAGCAGGAGATGCTGCCCCAGCTCGGGTCGGTCACGGTGCTGTCCGCCCGGGTTCGGGTTTAGAGGGGCTCCCGGGTTCCTCTCAGGGCAGCACGGTGAAGCCCCTCCGCAGAAACTCCCTGACAGGAGACGCGGGGCAAGAGTTCGTGATAGAGAACCGGCTCTTGTACTACTTGTTCACCTTCGGAACCGAGTTGGGCAACGAGTTCTTCTACATCACGTTCTTCCCGTTCATCATATGGAACGTTGAGGCGTTCGTGGGCAGGCGGCTGATCATGGTGTGGGTCTGGGTCATGTACCTGGGACAGTGCACCAAGGACGTGATCGGCTGGTCTCGGCCTGCTTCTCCACCCGTGGTGAAGGTGGAGGTGTTCTACAACTCCGAGTACAGCATGCCGTCCACCCACGCCATGTCGGGGACAGCCATCCCCTTCGCCCTCTTCTTCATGACCTACGGCCGCTGGGAGGTACTTAACACGCACGTCACTTCCTGCTCACTAACAGGAAGTGGTCTGGCATTTTTCACAACATCTGCAGCTCTGAAACAAACAAACAAAAAAAAAAACATAAACCATAGTTCAGCCAAGCTCATAGAACAGCCTACAGTCCATCTCTGGTTTTTGTAGTTTGTTTACGTGTAGTTCTGTAGTTTGCCAGCCCTAGCACTTCCTGTACAGCAGTCTGGTAGAAATCTAATAATATTTCTGCTGCAATAGTGTTTAAGTGTTTATACCATTAACTGCTTTGGAATATTTGAGGAAAGCTGCTTTATAACAATGCTGATCTTGGCCTGGACTAGCCGTTAGCTCATCAATCTGAATGAATACTGCCTCAAACCAAGGCAGTTCAAAGAGCTGCCCACAACTACAACAACACATGTTTGAAGTCTTTCCACTTCATCGTGTCAGAACTATCACAACGACGAGCCTGCTGCTGCACACTCGACTGATTTAAACACTGTCTTACATTTCTGAAGAGATCCTGAGTCGGTGAGGTCGGTTTCTACTAGTCACCAGGTAACAATGCATCCAACAAAATGTTCTTTATGGTAAAAATGTCAAATATGATGACTTATTTAGTAGGGATGTCCTGATGCAACTTTTTCACTTCCGATACGATACCGATATTGCAGCTTTCAGTATTGACCGATACCGATATCAATCCGATACGATATAAGCTCAAATCATACATACTTTTACCTATTTTGTAGTGTGAAATGAATGAAAGTCTTGATCAAGTGATATTAATGAATCGGAAAACAAGCGCCAATAACAGTAAGTATGAAAAAATGTCTTTTTTTTAACCAATGGTTGCTAACATGTGAACCTTAATGAACTGCTTATATTGGAGATTTCTGATGCGGTCCGATATAATCCGATGCAGTGTTTTTGGACTGATATCGAATTACTTTTTATTATCGAAATGGGGCATCCCTATTATTTAGTTCACACAACTTAATTTTTTTAAACACTGTAAGGTTGTTTATTTGTTAGCAATGCAAAATGCACTGAAACTGTCTCAGAGGACTGAGCTAAAGTATACTAGCTACTAGTGTCAAAAAAATCGATACCTAGATATAAATCGATACTAAAAGTGGTATCTAAATGAGATATTCCATCCCTGTGGTATCGATATTATGGACTGTTATACACAGCCTTCTTCAAGTACACCGACACGCACGACAGCCAGACGCCGTAAAGCAGCCTCCACCTCCCAGACAAACAGAAGAAGAAGACGCCGCATGGCTACGTAGCAATTTCCCACACGAGTTGTCTCCGATCCAAGTTTTGTCTGCCAAATAAATAAACAAAAACATAAACAGCGAATTTGGGAGATGCTTCACAGCCCAACTTAATTAGCATACCAAGTCCGACACGTAGTTGTATATTCACGCTTATGTGCTTAAAGGAAAACTCCCGTTTATTGCAACCCGGACTTAATTTCTAGCATGCAGTACGTTTGTTTACTCACGCTGACAACTTTGGTGCTACTTGGATCCCCCGGGGTATTTAGATCCATCAGCGAATCGCCGTCAGTGTATATCCATATAACGGGTGCAGACGGGCACCCATGGTGCAGCCTCGAAATAAGACATTATCTGCACCAAAACCTCTCAATGTCGAAAGGTTTTGTTAGGAATCATTAACATAATTCCCCTGTTCATTTGGAGCGAGTCTGGGATTTCTAGACGTAAACAGACTAGCCGCGGCTAATCTAACCAGCGCCTTTAATGACGTCACTGCCGTGCGCCAATCTGTTTTTATTAAGATTACCGGTAGATGTACCTTTGTCCTACTGTGGATAAATTCGTTTTCTCCCTTTATTGACCAACAGAGTTGTTCAAAAGTACAGAACAAAACATATGGCATTACATCTTATGACAAAAATGCACCTTAAACAGAGTTTAAGCAGCAAAACATCACTCTGCAAATAGTGTATATATAGTGAGACAATTTATGATTTAAAGTGTTAACTTTTGCCAGTTTTTGTATGCACGTTTTAAAAAATGCTGATACTTGAAAGGTTTAAGCACTTGAGGAATGTTATTTTTTGAATAAACTTGTTCAATAAATTGGTGTTTTTAAATAGGATCGAAATCGAGTAACAAGTTTTTTCCCCCAGTATCGAATCGAGTTTGAAATTTTAGTATCGTGACAACCCTACTAGCTACTGCTGAGGTGTAGGATGTTTGTCATTTAGCTGTTTGGAAATAAAACCTAAAGCCAGCTGAGCTACAGGTAAACGTCACCGTCCTGTGTGCTCGTGCTCTGATTCCTGCACGCGTCCTGGCTGATGACATCACAAACGGACAGCTCCGGTTTGCAGATGCGTTCGCCACCAGATCACCTTGTTCCTGGCTGCAGTGTGAACCTACACACAGAGATGTTTCTCTCACTTCTGCTTTTGTGAAAACCGCGAGTAAAAACAACAAAAGTAGAGTCTGTCCAGAGCAGCAGGCAACACCGTTACCGACGTTTCAGACTCGCTCGTGCTTTTAGAAGCTTCGTTTTTCTGTTCGTTTACTTTAATGAGAATAATGGATCCATAACGGCATAAAGCAGTAGCAGACAGGGAGAAATGACTATGTTCTGCACAGTTTTATGTTGATTTTTTTTAAATGGCTAACTCATTTTACCAAAACACAGCCATCTGATCTGACTACCCATGAATTTTTCATTCTTCGTGTAACCTGACTCACCAGGAGCTGTAGTCTGATTGTGTGATGTCATCGCTGTGGTGGACACTTTCTTCCTGACAGAGTTGGACATGATCAGGATGGTGGGGGTGTTGTGTAATCTGCATTTTATCCCAAAAACATAAATATTTTTTAATTTAATGATGCAGCGACATCATTTTCTATTCTTTATATTTTACTGATACTAAAGTGAAGACGGAGCCGTCTGGGATCGTTTGTGACCTGAAAGCTGTGATTAGCTGAAATGTTAATCTGCTGTATGAAGTACAAAGTCCACACAGCCCATAAAGCAACAAGAAACAAGCCACAGTAAAACAAAAGGTTATCGTAAGTTATTATATGAATAATAAAGTCAAATTACAGCAGCAAATTCTACATAATCACAAAACCGTCTCAGTCAGGTTGGAAGACGGTTACGCTTGTGTAGGAAATGTTCTGTACTAATAAAGCTGTCTGGTCTTCATTCAGCCGGTGGAGGGGTTTCAAAAAGGTTAAAGAGGGATGTGGTTACTGTTTACAATCAGGGAGTTTGTGAGGTTGCCAAATCTGCACCAAGCTAACGCTGCAACGCCGGCATTTGTAATTCAACACCGACAGCAAAAAGCTTCAGAGTTGTTTAAAGAACCAAAGCCAGCGAACAGGAGCAACTCAGAAGTTATTTCTTGTACCCCGAAGAAGCCACGGCATCTTTGTGTTGGACTCTAATATCAGAGGAAGCAGGCTAGAGGCTAACGTTGAGCTAACAACGGTAACGCAAATAGTCAGCTCTGAAAATATCTCAAGCTATGTTTTCAACGACTCAAAGTTACAGTGAAATGTGTGTGTGAAGAATAACGAGTCAATCGTGGCGTTTTTCTTCCTTTAATGAGTCGTTCAGAGCTGTAACAGCGAGCTAGCAGCAAGCCGGCAAACAACCACGCTTCCTGTAAGGCCAGAGATGAACTACCGTAATAAGTGTAGTAAGTGCTCCCTACCATCAAATGCTAGCACCAGATGTGACCGCAACGATAACCCTAATCACAGGATGTCGTTCCTGCAAATGGCACCTTTACCTGATGATTACTAGTTTTCCTTTAGAAGAGTATCACAATCCCAGAATGATCGGTAGGTCGAGGCAAAGCAGCATCCAAATAAAATCCCACAGTCAGGATCGGAATGTAAAATGCAGTTTGGTAAAACAATAATATGGATGGTTCACTCTGAATTGATCAGGTCTTTATATTATTAGTGGCTGCAAACACCATTTTAGTGATTAAGGAGTAATGAACTGGTGCTAAAATAAAAATGGGTGCTGCTTTGACTAAAAGCTCATCCAGTTTTACCCAGAAATCTCGAAGGGTGATTCTCGGTAGCTAGCACTTGATGTTTGAGTTAGCTCCACAGTGCTAACAGTACTACTAATGTAAAGCCGTTTTCTGTTCATTCCCGCTAGTATTTCTACTCCCAACACGTCAAAAGTAATCCTGATTCAGGAATGAGCTGACGCCATTGGAGATCATCATGCGCTTTTTCATCCTCCAATAAATCCCAGTTTGTTTCCATCTGGCCTGTAGGTCCTGAGTTCCTCCTCAACACTAGAGGGAGAAATGCAGACTCACCAAAATATGACTTTTCTGTGAAAAGCAAAAATTTCAACAACAGTTTTGACGTAAAAATGTCACCAGCAAAAATTCAACAACAAAACTCTTGTTGAATTTTTGCATTTTGAATGAAAGAAACTCCAAGTACTGATTTTCAGAGTAAAAATTCAGTGTTTAACAAAAGTCGTGTTTTGTGTTTGTTCCTAAACCCCGAGTGAAGGGGGGATCGGTACCGCGGATGCTCTGGGAGGCTTCCTGCTGACGGTCTGACGTGTCTGAGCAAAGCAGGAATGTTTGGGTGTAGATGGGCTGCGATCCGACCATCCTGCTCTCATCCCACCGCCCTCTTTTAGCTCCCAGTAACGTCAGCCAGATGTTGCTTCTGCTGGCAATGAAGTCAGACTCCGTGATGGAATGAAGTTTGTGCCTGGGACTTTATCCTCGGAACAAAAACAATCTTGCAAGCAGGCTTTGTGCTGAACTTCCTCCACTGAGCAGGAACTTTAGGTGGGAACGCTGCAACTCTTCCTGCTTGTTCCTTTGCTTTTGTTTTCTCACTTCCAAGTCTAGATTCTGTGCAAAGCAACAGTGTTGTCTTAGTTTGTCTGTTTTTATTTGTACAATAAAGGGAGGGGCATGTGGAGGTCCACTATGTTTACCATTAAAACGAGTCTCCAGTAATGCGAGCTGACTCACAAATGACCACTTCTCCTAAAGTTCAAGCATCCGGCGACCAGCAGCTCCCCTCAGAGCTTTAGTTTCCCTGCTAGAGAGTTTGTTTGAAACTTTAATCACATCTCAGAACTTAAGTTAATCTCTGGAATTGTTGCAGAGTTCCTTCATTGGCTGCCAGTCAACTTCAGGGTTCATTTCAAGGTCCTGGTTCTGGTCTATAGGGCCTTACATGGACAAGCACCATCTTACATTGGTGATCTTCTCAGTCCCTACACCCCCAGCAGGTCCCTGAGGTCCAGTGATCAAAGCCTACTGGTTGTGCAGCACCAGGCTAAAGGTCAAAGGTGACAGATCATCTGCTGCTGTGGCCCCCAGACTCTGGACCTCTCTCCCCCTGAGCCTGAGATCAGTGGACTCAGTGGTCTCCTTTAAAAAGCAGCTGAAGACTCACTTGTTCAAGCTGGCTTTTGTATGACCTTCTTCACCACTCTCTCTTTATTCTGCTCTCCCCACCTATTCCACCTTTCTCAGGATCCACTGATTTCCCTCTTTCCTATTCACTCTCTCTCTTTCTTAACATTTTTAATCACAATTGTCTATTTTTTGCTAATTTAAAATATATTTTTAACCATTTTCTAAATTCTTTTTTTATTTTTACATTTTTTGTTTTTGTGAAGCGCCTCATGATTTTTATCTTCAAATGCGCTATAGAAATGATCTTTTTAGGCCCGAGCAGCAAAAGCGCTGTGAAGGCCCCTTGTTTTTGCTCTGTTTATTTTTCTTCCGCCAAGTAAATTGGTTTTTTGGAGGCCTCAGCATACCTGACAACTCAGGAATTTTTGCACACATGTCAGGCGTGGTGTAAAATTTTGCATTTTAAATGTCCCAAAAACATCGCAATGAAACTAGCTCCACAGCGCCCCCTAGAATGTGAAAAATACCCCCCTCCATAAACCTTAGTTTATCGTACAGTTATGAAATTTTGTACACTTATAGTACTCAACAGTCCGCACAGAAAAGCCTCTTGCAACCATGGTCAACATCAAACAGGAAGTCGGCCATTTTGGTTTGAAGTGGTGATTTTGACCCCGTTTTCGCCGTTTCTGATTGATTTACTCGATCATTTTTCGCACGATCGTCTCGAAATTGTGGGAAATTGCTCAGAAGGGATGGGCGATCAAACAGAAAAAATGAAACTGACTTTTCGTATATGCTGAGGAGGGGTGACCAGGCCTCGAAGTTAAACTACTCGCCAAAAAAATATAAGTGGCTATGACTTCATACTCGAATAGAGTAGAGTTACAAAAATCTCTGTGGTCATTCGACATCTAGCCACAAACTAAATTAAATTCACACCAAACTGCACACAAATGATTGTTGTCAACCTACAAACTTCTTCATGGAATATTTCCTGAATTTGGGACAGCGCCCCCTAGATATAATAAAACCTTTGAAACTTCTACAAAAAAGCTCCAAACTATATCAAACATGGTGGGAGTCATCACACAACTGCAATCAACACGTGTGTGTGCTCACTCATTCAAATCACTGTAACTCCACCCACTTACAGCCTTTTGGCTCTAGATAGCACACACACAACATTTGATTGATGCCAAATTAACAGAAAACCATTTTTGTCAACCAAAGCTGACCTCAATGGGATTTTTCTGTGGTTGGTCACAGTGCCCCCTAGATAACTTTAACCTTCAATGACTTGTAAAAACGTGGTCGGAATAGCATTCAACTTGGTCTGTGTCATCACAGCACCAGTGTTGTAAAGATGGAGTATCCCCTAGTGGTGAGACATGTAATTAAATGGTGGGCTCAGAGAAGATGCTGAGTCAGGGGGAGGTGCAGACGAGGAGACTGTTTGCGGTTTCTGGTGTCGGGGTGGTCGATGTTTATGTTCAGCGGACGTGCCCGGGTGCACCAGACTGCCGGCCAGGTTGGAGCGGTGTGGATCTACGAGGGCCGAACGATGCTGCTTGCAGCTTTATACTACTTCTTCTTCTTCTTCTTCTTTGGCAACCCGGGTTACAGTTACAGTTACAGTTGAAGGGGACAAATTCTGCAACAATTACGGTTTTCATCCTTTTGTGCTGCCATGTGGTTCTCTGCATGCTCTGTAAACTCTCCACATTTTCTGTCGGTGTTTGGGATTTGGAATTATGTACCTAAAAGAGCCGTTTCGAAGCATTCCCGTTTGTGATGTCACAAACAGGGAATTCACACGAAACCACCTTGTGTGTAAGAGAGCTGCTGCTGGAGGAGTGGCAGCTCTGCTACAAGCCCCTTCCCTGTATGTTGGAGCTTCTCAGCTTATAGCAGCATAAGTGGGGGATGGGTGGGCGTGGCCCTGAAATGGCTCATTGTGGAAGGTACTGAAACTATCCAAAATAAAACAGCTGAAATTGCTTCATGTGAGATGGATTTAGTGTAAAGAACTTCATAAACAAGTTTGGTTTGATATCAACATTAGAGCCATTATAACTTAAAAAAAATCCTAAACTGTCTTCATTAATGGATGTTATTTGTCCTGCAACCCTCAAGACATTTTTATTTCATCCTTCATAATCTGAACCACGTCACCTTCACTCTGGTGCCTCTCCGTCCGTCACCGTGTTTCGTCAGCTCAGAAAATCCAAAGGAACTGTTTTAGTCTGAGCCATAAACTCTAAAAGCTGCTGCTCACAAGGCCAAAGAAAAAGTCTGATTTAAACATGATCTGATTCATATGTAAAATCTCTAAAATTCACCATTCGTCCAACCATTCATAAATGGGTCTTTAGCCACAAATCCCTGTAAAATAATCCAACTGTCCCATGAATGGGAGCAGCAGTCATCATCTGTCATGATCTATTCATGTCTGATCCCACAACACTTCCTCACAACCAATGTTAATCCTGAAATAATCCCTGATGGATCCCCTTCATCTGACCAGTAACTCAAACCGTGTTGGTTACGGCTCTCTCTGGCCGTACAGACGCATTCCTGTCCTGTTTGTAGATTTGTCATCCAGAGCAGGATAATCTCACATTCTTGATTATGGATTACACTTTTGGACCATTTTATGTGTTATTTGGTTGAAAACTGAAATACCAAACATTATTTCTAAGAGTGACCTGATCCAGGAATGCAGCGCAACAACAACACGTTACAGCGAAAGCACAATGACAAAGAAGGAAAACAACAGCGTTACAAAAGGTTTGAACTTCACAGATTAGGATGATTCAGCGACTAAAGCAGCTACATTTGCTCAGAGACATGTCCCATGAAGACATGAGCGATGTGCTTGCTGCACGTGCTGCTTCCGCATGGTTACAGGTGAACCAATGTTAATCAAAAGCTCGTTTATGCCAGTAATTAATCTTAAAGCTGAAACTAATCTGTGAGACGGACTCGGTCCATGCAAATCCAGATGGTTCAGCTTTTGTTAGTTCTAACTGATGGTTATGGCTTACAGCTGATGAAAACCCCACATTCAACATCTCAGACTACTAGAAGATTGGTTTAGTGTTCTAGACTCTTATTGTCACTCTCTGATCAGCTAATGAACCCAGAACACCTGCAGAGGTGTCCCGAGCCTTTAGATGGTCTCTCAGTCTAAGATGGATTACTGAAATAAACGGACTTTCGGACCTTATTTGCATTTTTTTCAGTTTCACCCGCATGTCGGATTTACCTGTGATGCTTTTCTGGTCTGGCTGCTGAGAGCAGTTGTAGAGCACGGAGGACTCGGGGCTCTGTTTGCCACCAACCCAGATTACGTGTCTGAAGGTCAATAATCTGTCAGAACCGTAAAGCTGGTGTGTGAGCTCTGTGTTTGGACTGGATTGAAGTATTTGTTCAGTAGATCTGTCTAAACATTTTTACTTCTTTTATCTGCCATCATCATTCCTCGTGCCACCTTGTTAGCAGCTGATTGGTGGATAAATGCTGCGTCGTCCTGCTGTTCTGGTTTCAGATCAGGTGGATCTGTAACGCAATGCTCCACTGAAATATTTACGATGCTGTCTGAGTCCTGTACGTGTTGGCAGCTTCTCACCTAGATCTCCGTACAGTTGGACCAGGAGCTGTTTTAATGTGATCAGAGAGTGAAGGGTCCATGTTTGACTGACCTCCAGCAGCAGAACGGAGAGCTGGAGTAGCTCCATAACTCCTCTGGAGGTTTTCCTCTTTAAAACCATCAAACTAAGTACGTCTGATTTCTCCCAAAAACAGTTTTTCATGAAAAAATTCTAACGTCTTACATTCATCTAAAGCCCCAAATAGTGATTATAGCTGAAGTTGTTTGTTTTTGACGCTGCTGGTGTTGAAATGCCTCATAACTGTTTCTGGTGGTTTGTCTTGACTGTGAGCCGTCTCCTGTCTCCTCCTCAGTACCCGTCCACGTTGGGCTTCAGCTTGGCTCTCTGCTGGTGTCTGCTGGTCTGCAGCAGCAGAATCTACATGGGAATGCACTCAGTCCTGGTAAGTGTGACCTCTACCTGAGTCCATATGTTGGTGCTTCACTCTGCCCAAGTCTCCTCCCCTTCCATGCGTCCCCTGAACAGAGCTGTAAAAGGTGTTTTCTAATCCGCTTTGCCTCTCTCCCTGAATCACACGTATGTTGTACTTCAATTTAAATGATGATAATTATGTGTTTTGATGATGTCAGTCCTGTAATTTGAGGTTCATTTGCTTGTAAAAAGTAATTAAATTGACTACAAGTTGGACATTGCACATAGGGAGCCTAAGTCCCGCCCACCTACTTCCTCACCACGGATTCCCCGAAGAACAAAAAATTGAACGCAAGTCAACGGGGCTAAAACGCTATTTTAACTCCGCTTGTTTTGTTCCATGGATTTCACACATGATGTCTGTGAATTTTAAAGACACATTTTGATACCAAGAATGCACTTATTTTCAAATGGGGGAAACGCAATTTTAGGTTTTGTGTGAAAATAAGTCCCAAACTACAAATGCGCCTCATGAAAGTGACGTCATCGAACCAGACATGGAGAAAACTGAGGGAAAAAGGCTGTAAGTTCAGCAAACTTCCCACAGGAGGAAAGATCCACCATAAATCTGGCCATGTGGTAAGTAGCAGCTACGCTAGGGGGGAGGAGCTTATGTGGTGATGTCACATATGCGACGTGCCGATTTCTGGTGTGTAGTCACGCTAATTACGAACTTTTACAAGCTGATAAATCTCATAGTACAGGATAGCGAAACACCCATCATTAGTTTTCATTTAAACTGCAGTACAACACGCGTGATCCAGGGCGTGAGGCAAAGCGGGTTAGAAAATGGCTCTTTAGCCTCCTTCAGGGATCCATGAGGGACTTGGGCTCCCTCTGTGACGTCACAGCGAAACCGCCTCTCCCCAGCGTAGCTGCTACGTATCTCCACGTTTTCTCCACGTCTAATGCTCCTTTTTTCATCCTGGAAGAAGGGTGTGAAGCTCGCTGGGCTCGCAGCCCTTCTCCATGTCTCGCTTAATGACGTCATATGGGTTAGACGGGCATTGCTGCATATTTTCACACAAAACCTAAAAGAACTTTTGCTGCCTGTTGTAGATGAGAGCCTCTAAACAGGTTTAAAATGGTGTGGAATCAATGGTTCATAATAGGGCTGCAACAAACGATTATTTGGATAATCGATTAATCGGATGGGGTCTCGACACGATTAATCGATTAATCGGATTACATGGGGAAATTTTTAAAAACTGCTAGGGAAACGTTATTTCTCTCCTTCCTTCACTTTATTTAACACAACATTATTAGAAAACAGTTCAATAGCAGAAAAACAACATGCCATCACCTAAATTGTCTTATAAGGTGTATAGACAGAGACCCTAAGCTACATCTATCTGTGACCTAAAATGCTTGGTCCAAGTTAAACTGCTTAAGGGCAATTCTCATCTGTTTTGTTTGATCTCATCTGTTAATATTTATTTTAAATGTAATTAAACATAGGCTGTGAATTAATCAAAATTGATCACTATTTCCAAAAATGACTGAAAAAATACCAAATAAAACAAAAGTAAATGAATGCCATCCTCCTTGCGATGATGCCCTGGGCAACTGCCATAAAGTCACATCAAGAAATGCTGCTGATCATTCCAATGATCCCAAATAGACTCACATTAGGCCACATGAAAGCAACTGAACCCAAAAATATATTAACCAGTATATAACTGCACTCTCACACAACACGCCTGCAGCAACAGTTAGGACTCCTCCCTCCCTTTTAAAAGCGTTTTTGCTTCCGAGGACATTGTGGTTGTAAAACCACATGCTAGTAGTCTGGCCCCGGTGTGATCAACCAGTTTCTGCGGGAATGTGACGGCGGAACCAGGGCCAGATTAACACTTTGTTGTACCCTGGGCAACAATATTCAAGGGCTCCATCATCACGACCCAAGGATCACCATAATGTGGTCACATACAGAATATTTTACTGTAATATGCAGTAAATATACTCAATACTTGAATGCCTGACAACACGTAACCCGCCCAGAGTAACCTTTGACCCACCTCGTGTGGACTGACCAATGAGGAGAGGGTCTTAACTTGAGGCCCTCTCTTCATTGGTCAGTCTGCATGAGACTGACTCTCAACTGACGTTCAGTCGTAGGCAGCGAAGCGTCTCTGTGCAGTGCAAAAGCCCGGGTGGACAGTTTGTTTAATGTAGGGTGACCATATTTCCATTTCCAAACAAGAGGACAGGGGATCTGTGCCTATGACGTCACACTATGGCAACGCCACACAAACCATGTTGGGACCCATTTTTTGTAAGAACTAAATTAATATCAGATTCTGCCAATAAAAGGGCTCTAAAACAATTCATATGTAAATATTTTGCATATTTAATGCAAAATCTAATTTTTCTGCTTTAGTGCTGCAACAAGGTTTTATTAATAATAAATTATTATACCTTTTGTTTTACTACAGCATCGGTAAGCTTCCTGTGCACAGATTATTAAGGATGCTTGTTTCAACTGTGAGATTAGACGATAGGATCAATGATAAAATAAGTTGTCACAAACTCCATGGAAACTTTCAGAGAATCCACAAATAGTGGCTTTCAAATGGTTTTGTTACTTTTTGCAAGTTTATAAAATAAGCAGATGAGACAGCATGTCTGATAATTTAGTTTTTCATCTGATAATATTAGAGCATGTCAGTAATGTCTGAGGGGCTTTTATAAACACCATATAACTAACACTACTGGAGAGGGCATGAATTACACAGAGGCTTCTGGGGAGCCCAGTTATTGGGGGGGGGGGGGGGTGGGGGGGGTGGGGGGGGGGGTGGGGTGGGGGGGGGGCATTTTGCCTTGGCCCCCAAAATGTCTTGAAACGGCCCTGGGTGTGTGACTGAGTTTTGAAGGTGATCTGAATTGTATCAGATGTATAAATATGACATGTGTATAACTTATTGTTTTTTACTGGTAAAAACGTGTAGTGGAGATAAATCTACCTACATTTTACTTTTCAACACTTTGTTTTGTTTTCTTGTTTTTATTGAACTATTTTCCTGTCCTGTCTGCCTCTCATCTTCCTGCATCTCCTCTTAATTCTCCAGAAAATCTGTTGCCTGGATTCTTACCTTTTCACCTCATCAGTTACTTTTGAGCAGGTCAAAGGGATCTCCTGACCGAAAAGCGCAGAGCGCGTTTTCGATGCTGCGTGAGGTGACATCACCACAGCACAGGTGATGAGCTCCGCAGTAGCGCGCTTCAGGCACAAATAAGACAGAAAATAGAGAACATGTGCAGACAAGAACGATCGTGTGCTAATTATAGTTTTTTGGTTGCGCCACTTTGAGAATGGACCGTGCGCTGGAAGCAGCTGCCTGGATCGCTGTGCAACAATGCGGAACCGGTTCGCAGCAGCTCAAGTCTGCCGGCTCTCCCTCGCGCTGATCTGCCTGTACCGGCTCTCCCTCACGCTGATCTGCGGCTCTCCCTCGCGCTGATCTGCGGCTCTCCCTCGCGCTGATCTGCGGCTCTCCCTCGCGCTGATCTGCCGGCTCTCCCTCGCGCTGATCTGCGGCTCTCCCTCGCGCTGATCTGCGGCTCTCCCTCGCGCTGATCTGCGGCTCTCCCTCGCGCTGATCTGCGGCTCTCCCTCGCGCTGATCTGCCGGCTCTCCCTCGCGCTGATCTGCGGCTCTTCCTCGCGCTGATCTGCCGGTACCGGCTCTCCCTCGCACTGATCTGACTTGCTCTGGTCTGCGCGCAACGGCGGGCGGGAAGGGGGGGCGCTTTTGGAAGAGTTGTGCGACACAACGAATCGATGACGCAATTCGTTGCCAACGCTTTTAGTAATCGATTTTCATCGAATTTATCGATTCGTTGTTGCAGCCCTAGTTCATAACAAACGGGATCAGAAAGAACTTATTGGCTCATAGACCTCCATTCATTTTTCCTACAGTAGAGGACCCGTGGTCTGGATGGAGATGGGCGTGGCTTAAGCTCCTCATAGGCCACTCAGAAGTGCTGCTACTCACATGTAATGGCCCATATACTAATAATAGTAGTAATAATACTAAGTTACTCCACTTGGTCAAAAAAAGTCCTCCTGAGTCTAAACTAAGCAAACAGGTAGGAGCCTCCTATTGGCTGGTTACTGCAGGGGGTGGTCCTTCAGCGGGTAACAAGTTATTTAACCTCAACCCGTGCATTGGTTAGCTTCTCACAGGGCCGGGTGATCTGGCCTCAAATCAATATCACGATGTACTGAGCAGTTCACCGCTATAACAACAGAGGATAATTACCCGGATGGGGCGGAGTCACATGACTCCGAGAGCAACCTGCACACAACTTTTGTTTTTCTTTACTGAGTAAACCAACATGGGCGAGAAGACGCTGGTATCGGTACGTTTTTAGTTCGTTGCCCTCCTCTAGCTTCTCGTATCTGATCAACCACGTGGAAAGTCCCGTCCCATGGTCGAGGAAGACTCGTTTTGCTCCTAACTGATCAACGTTTGAACCGTGGTCATAAAAAAAACATGAGACGCCATTTATGTCGCTCTACATACCCTTCAGTGAGACTCCCGTACAGATCAGGATGCCAGGTTCACGACCTTCCTCTGGTACTGGAGCCGATGAAACGGCGTCGACAGCACGACAAACCAGTCTTTGGATAGTCTCCAGGTAAAGAGCGACAGGTGTTTCACAGCGTCAGAAGGGACCCCCCTTTGGGTCAGCGGGTTCAGCTTTTATTCTGAAGGAACCGTTGTTTTGTTGATAACAGCGACAGGATCTCCCAGCTTGGCAGTTCTAGCTTAAAAAGGGAAGTATAGATGGCCGGTCCATACTTCACTTAGCTTGCGATGAACTCCAGGGGATCTTGAGATCTCGTTGAATTAAATAGCTCCTTCATCACGTTACAGAAGGGTAACTCTTGCAGCGCGCTTTAAACAGTGGTTTTATGTTTATTTATGTTTATTTATTTGGCAGACACTTTTATCCAAAGCGACTTACAATTCATAACCTATAGGGCACGTTGTGATCTGTGGGGGAACCCGGAGGAGACCCACGCATGCATGGGGAGAACACGCAACTCCACGCAGAAAGGCCGCAGCCGAGTTTCGTACCTGCGACCTTTGTGCTGCGAGGCAACAGTGCTAACCACTGCGCCACCATGCAGCCCGTTCCGGATCATGATGGGTGAAGCTCCTCATGCAGTAACGCTGCATGTGTCTGATTTAGCTGGTTAAACGTGTTTATTGTGAAGGGGAAAGTCGAGGGCGGTTCCCTCCTTCCAGCTATGGTAGGTAGGAGAGTGAGTGCTGCTCACTACGCTCCGAACAACCAGAGCAAACGTCACGAACGTCTGCGGAGCAGCAGGACCTCTCGTCCAAGCCGCCGTCGGGGTAAAAGGACGGCACGGAGACCCGTTTTCCAGCGTTTTATAGTTGTTGGGTTTCTTGGGTGTGCTTCATGTTCAGATCCGTGTCTGTGATCAACGTGCTTGGACCTGTGCTCCAGCGTCAGGCTGGCAGCTTCATCAGTTCTTAGTGGAAGTCTTTAAAAGAATCGGTGTGCCTGTAAAAACCTGCTTGTGCGTTTCGTCAGCAGCGCTGATGAACTAATATAAGTGAGTGGGTGTGCGCCGCCCAAGCCCCGTAGCTCTAAAGCATTATGAGATGCCAGCAGATGCTTTGATGTCCTCAAACGGAAGATCAGCCAGGATCTGGTGTGACGCTCGTGAGCTTCCACTGTGGTAGCAGGAGTGGGATCAGAGCCCTGGGGGAGGTCCGGGTCACGTTCAGGTCCCAGACAGGAAGTTGAACGAGGCGGTGGAGGTGTCTACCAGACGTTACCGGACCGAGAACGAGCGGCGGTTCCACCGCGAGAGAAAGCAGAGTGTGAATTATTTACACACGTCTGATCTGTCGCAGCGTTTACGGCGTCAGGGCAGACCAGACCACAGAGAACTGCTTTGTAAGCCTCTTGAAAGGTTGATGTTTACATGGACTTTAGTAAAGACCATCATGTCCACCTCGCCCAGCACAGCCCCACTCTCAGAGTCGAGCTTAAGCTAACATGATCTGAACTCTGGATCAAATTGGCAGAGGTTTTAGTTCCACGTAAGCTGAGCTAGTCCTCCTCGGTGACGGCTGGAGGCCTGTTCTGTTTCAGATACATGGTGAGTCCCTCCTGGGCTGCTCTGGTGAAGGTTCTGCTGCAGACGAGGCTAAAACTCCCAACATGCATGGTTTCTGAGTGGGTTAGTGTGTGTGTGTGTGTGGATGTGTGTCCTTGTGTCATGTTTCTAACCGGCCTGAGCAGGACTGCGTGGGTAGTGAGTAATCACTGATCTTTGGATGAAACTGTTTCTAAATGGCCACTATGTTGTCCCGTGGAGGTCAGAGAGCTGCAGCTTTTATGACGGTTACATCTGAAGGACAGCTGATAAATGTTTGCAGATCTAATAGTGCGTACTTTAAGGGCCACCACAGCCTGATGAGAGGTCACTGTTCTCTTCCTGAGCACAGCTCCGCCCCGTTTCCTCCGCTGCCGTTTAGACTTCCTGTCTTTGTGCAGCGCACAAACCCAGCTCAGAGCCACGGGGAAGGGTTAGCACTAGCCGTGGAGGTCTGGAAGGCTGCAGAAGCAGGAAAGCAGCGGCTTGTTTACTGCTGGCTCAGTAAAGGAACAGCCGTAATCAGAACTTGGTGTTCGAGTCCAGAGTTCACGGCCACGTGCAGCTCTCTGGTTTCCTGTTTCCCGTCAGCACTCCTCAGTGTCCGGGCCCCTTCACAACAATAAGCATGCCTGTATCTGGTGGAGAGGGTGTGTGGGGTCACCGTGGGGGTGCACGTGTTTGGTGATGGAAGTCTCAGCAGGTCTGGCTGGCGTCACCGTTTAAGTTCTCATCCTTTGTGCTTGTGTCTGTTTCCTCCAGGATGTCATTGCTGGCTTCCTCTACAGCCTCCTGATCCTCCTCTTCTTCCTGCCGGCCCTGGACCTGATCGATGGCTTCAACCTGACGTGTCGCTACGCTCCTCTCATCATCATCTCCCTCCACCTGGGCTTGGGCCTCTTCTCCTTCACCCTGGACACCTGGAGTACTTCTCGGGGAGACACTGCTCAGATCCTGGGTACCGGTGCGGGTGTGGCGCTGGCGTCCCACGTCAACCACTACCTGGGCCTGCTGCCAGACCCGACGCCGGACCAGCTGCCTTTCACTATGCCGGTCATCAGCGCCAGCTTAGTGGGCGTGGCCTTGCTGCGGCTGGTTCTGGGAGTGCTGGTCCTGGTGGCTACGCGAGCTCTCATGAAGCTGCTCACTATCCCGCTGGTATGCTGGGTGTTCGGCGTTCCCAGCGGGGACACGAGGAAGGCCCGGCAGCACATGGAGGTGGAACTGCCCTACCGGTACCTCGTCTACGGGACAGTGGGCTTCAACGTGCTCTTCCTGGTCCCGCTGCTCTTCTCTTACGTACGTCTGGGATGACCAGCTTCAGGGCGTGATAAGGTCACCTCAGTGTTGTTGTGATGCAGACTTTAGCGCTGACGTGTCCTACTGGCTCAGGTTGTTACCAGAGCAGCCTTAAGGGGTGGGGGGCGGGGGGCTCAGGGCTAGCTAAACCATCAAACCTGTGGTGAGTGAAGCCTCTCTTAGTTTTACTGATAAAACCCAGACGGCAGCAGTGGGAGATGAACCTGTAAATATCCCATCTTTATTGTTGCCCTCTGGTTCAACGATGCTTTCGTGGTTTCTGTCTGCAGCTCAAACGTCTAGCTTGTTCTGATCCGCTCAGGCACGAGAAGAGAAGCTAGAACCAGACCCGAGTAGCCGATGGATTAGCTCCGTTTGCTCCCTGAACAACAAAACTCACAGTAGCCGACCTTTGACCCCGACACTGTGGCGTCTGCTAGTCAGAGACCTATGAACTGTGTGTGTCTCACTGAGGGAGTGGGCTGTGATTGCACTTGTGGAGCTCTCTCCTCTGAAGTTAACGACTGAAAGGCAGCAGCCGTGGAGCCGTTCCACGTTTTTATGATAGCTCAGTGATTAGATTCCCTTCTTCTGCTCTTGTGAGATTGTTGTGACTTCATCTACTGAAGCTCCGCTGTGCTCTAAAGGGAGGAGACGAGGCAGAGTGACTCGAGGTGAGAAGGAAGTATAAAGTTATACTTCAGCCTTAGAGATGACGGTTTGATCGTGTCAGGTCTGCCAGGTTTTCCCTCCCAAACCTTTGATCCAAGGGTTTCGCCCTCCTCCCGTGTTGCTCTTCTTCTCTTCGGCTCCACTAGACAGACAGCAAGTTGGTTAATAAAAACCAAATCAGTGATGCGTGAGTTTGTCAGGTCTTCCTAGCTTCCTTCTAAAGCTGAAGCACTCCCAGGTCACCTCTAGTCATGGTTGTGCAGTTATCCACTTTATATTCTGGTTTCAGCTTGTAACCGTCGCTAAAGTGTGACACGGGTATGAGTCATGTTATTTTTCACATTCCGCCTCGCAAGCATGCTTTTATTTGTTTGTTTTCTCTTTTATTTTGTGGTGTGGTAGCGACCACATCCCCAAGAAAAAAGCTGTCTGAATGAACTTCCTGTTTGGACGAGAGCAGCTTTTCTCTGTTTTATCAAGGGGGCGGAGCCAGGCTCACCCCTAATAGCCTCGACTCTGCCACCCACTGGCCGGAAAGGGCAACTGCAGTCTGCTGGAGATTTTAGACTCATCTAAACCCTTCTTTGTGGCAGAAGTTAAACTTTAAACAGCCATTTTGATGCAGACAGCCAAACATTTCAGTTTTGAATGAGGAAAATATTTGTTCATTAGTTTCAAAAGGGACCATAAAACCAACTAAAGTTCAAGCAGTCTTCAGTCATCCATTAAAGATCTAGCTTTGTGTTTGTTTGGAGCCTCTGAGTAAAGTAAAATGTTAACGGTGTTAGCTTAGATTTATTTTTATTTTTGTACTTTTGTGTTTCACTCTGGGTCCAAACCAGCAGAGCCAAGGGCACACAGCTGATGGTCTGAGTGGTGTTTGGAGGAAGGAGGTCAAATGTTGTGTGAAAGCACCTGATGGTTTGTTTTTGTAACAGCTGACTGGAAGTTCATGAGCTCACACGGTTTCTCTGTGACCCACACCTTTTGTCCTAAGGGCTGTTGAGGAGCATTTATAGTCAGATTTCTACTCTAAATCTGTGAGAATATTGATATTTTTCTGTAGTTTTGGCTCATGAAGCACCATCAGATGATCTGTTAGCGGTAGAGAATGAAAACCTTGAAAGAAGTTTCTTTCTAACACCAGAGTTGAGTTTGTTTATATGAATAGAATCCTTTTTTATGTTCAGACGCATCTATTAGAAACGTTGCAGATGTCCCAGGTGGGCTGGTGAACCAAAGGCTTCTGAACACACACACACACACACACACACACACACACACACACACACACACACACACACACGTGCCTTGTTTCTTGCTGATGCTGCATTCAGGTGCTGCAGGACACATTTAATCTCTAAACTGGGAAGAAACGTGTATTTTTCTGTTATTGCTTTTATTATTTACGGTACTGATCTGATCTAAATGCACTGTTCCCAGAATGCACTGGTCCCCTCCTCTCCAAGCTGGGCTTCCTGTAGGAAGTTGGTCCTAAATGTTCATTTCAGGTCGTGTTTCCACGAGGACAGTTTTGTTTGTGTTTTTGTTTTTGGATGAAGGAAAACCACTATTTCTTAGCTGATGGTTTTGGTTCAGCAGAGTGAAAGTAATCCGTTTAAATTTTATTTAAAGGATTTGTTTTCTCCAACAGGAAGAGGAACCAAGAATTGAAACTGTGATCTGCTTTTTGATTTAGAAATTGAAATGTGCCTGATCAGTTAAAGGCGCGGTTGTGTGGGACAGTAATAACCCGACTCGGGCTGATTTCACTTCCTGTGGCGTGGTGTCCTGTGTGCCCGACAGAAGAAGCTCATCAGATAAATGCAGACGTTTCCGAACTGGCTGGTAAAGAGCAGAGTTTGTGATTGTTGTTAAAAGTCCGGTTTTTCCTGACGGGACGTTTTTGAGGGGAAGTGAGAGAACATGAGATGACACCAAACCTCCATGCTGTCTCAGAGTGGAACAATCTCATTTAATCTGCTTGGTAAAAAAAAAAAATGAAATCATAAATAACTATAATAAACAGTAAAGACGTTTGCACCCATCCCAAAAACCCGACAAAACTCAGGTTATATCAGAGATCTTCTCCCTTACAAAATCCTATGTTGTTGCTGGAATTTGACATATTTATTCAGTATGAATGGGTTTTCAGAGGGGATGGAAGTTTTTAGTTTTATAAGTTTTTATTGTTTTTATTAGTTAGAAAACCTAATAAAACTTAAAAGTAAGCTCTGTTTTTGAATCTGATGACAAACGGGAGGTACGCCCGACTGTCTCTTACAGCAGAAACCTGAATGGTCCCACTCTGCTGCTCCAGGATGGACGTGTTGGTGGTTCTGTTTGGTGGAGGTGCCTTCAGGTTCCTTCTATCGCGAAGACAAACTCAACTGTTCTTCTGCTCCACACTTCCTTAAATTGCCTCTGCCCCTCAGGAACAGCTCTAGTGAAATGTCTCTGTGGTTCCTGCTCTTTGCACTTTAGCTGCCCCCCCCGAAGTTTCCTGATTTCACACAAAAGTTAATCCAACACTCGTGACATGTGACTTATCACAAATGTCGAATTTTAACAGTTTTTGTCTGGATTTTCTCTTCCAAAGCTGATTCCTGCTCTGATTTAATAAAGTTCTGCACATGGGCGTGAACCTCAGCGTGAGGTTAATCTTATGCAGTTTGACAGTAGTTTTCTAAACATTTGCAGGGTTGATGTTAGATTGCAACAAAATGAGATGTTTGTAATGAACTAAAATAAAACTGAGGAAATGAAACGATGTCTCTCCTCATTAATGGTTTGTTTAAGGGACAGAAGCTGGTGATCTACAGACGTGGACACAATGGATCTCTGCAGCGTGTCGGGGAAGAGTAATCTGCTGTTGGGGGCACTGGGTCGACAGCAACAGGTCAAAGTAACAGCAGGGCCCGAGCTTCCAGTGGAACGTCGTCCGCACCTTGAATGAAAGACAGATGTAAACAGATAATCCTCGTTACCATACCACTTTATTTATACAGCACATTTAAAATGCAGCGTGAGAGCTGACCAGTTGTGACAGAAATGCTAAATTATCCCCAGTGGTATCTTCTCACGTCCACACAGTGATGGTTCCGCAGTGGGATCAGCTTCTCTCTGGTTTAACCAGTCTGAAAGCTGCTTTTGCTGCCACCTGCTGGACGCCGGAGAACTATCACTCAGTATGTTAGAGATGTGAAAACTTTACATATTTCAAGAAAACGATCCTAAATGTTATTTCAGTTTTTCACCCATAACACATCATTACATTTACTGATTCACAACGGTCTGACCTGTCCCAGGTGGAGAGGACACCATTAGGAATAGTTTTACAGACATGCGATGGTCTCTAAAGAACAGGAGAAAAATCAGGACAACGCTCATCACTCGTGATGGTCAGCAGTAACCAACACATTCTGATCCTATTGATGTAAGGGTGTTTAGCAGCTCAGTGGCCTAGTGGTAGAGTGTCCACCCTGGAAGATCAGAGTTCAAATCCCGGTTGGGTCATACCAAAGACTTTATAAAAATGGGACCTAATACCTCCCTGCTTGACACTTGGCTTTAAGGGTTGGATTGGGGTTTAAACCACCAAATAGTTCCCGAGCGCAGCCACTGCTGCAGCTCACCGCTCCCCACGGGGATGGGTCAAACACACCAGAGGGTGTGACAACTATGGGCCTTTAATCTTAACTTTATTCTTTAAACTGTCACATTGTGTGTATCTGCTCTGTCTTCTCAAGCCCCAGTGCTGCTACTGACCCAGGATGATGGTGGTTACCAGCGTACGAATTACACAGATGCGACCTTGTTCTTACCCTGATCCCCAAAAATGGCTTGAAACGGCCCTGGGTGTGGGCCTAAGCTTCGATCTGAACTGTATCAAATACATAAATAGTACATGCTTATAGATAGTTGCTTTATAAAGTTAAAAACATGTAGTGGGATAAATCCATCCACATTTTCTTTTTCAAATAATTGTTTTCTTCATTTTTATTTGACCATTTTTCTGTCCCGTCTATCTCTTTTCTTCCTGCATCTTCTCTCTCTCCTGCAGAAAAACGGCTGCCTGGTTTCCTGTAGTTTCACCTCCTGAGTTACTTTTCAAATAAGCAAATCAAAGGGATCTACCTAACGCAATAATAGAGGAATGCTTGCTGCGTGCTGGTGAGACACTGGAGCTCAAGACAGGCGATGCGCTCCACAGCGCATCAGGCACAAAGGATAAAAAACACGAGAGGACATGAGCTGATAAACTATCGTGTGTTAACTGAATTTGTTTGTGGTGCATGGCGACACTTTGAGAACGCTAATGTGGCCGTGCACAGGAGCGAGCTTCCTGGCGCGCAACAACAATCAGCGCTCTGCATCCTCCCCACTCAGAAGAACCCCAGAGTGTCCACATTGAGGCCCTGTCCACACCCGATGGTCCACATGAAGCCGAGGATCTGCCAAAACGTAGATATTTTTCTACGTTTTGGCCTGTCATCCACACGAAAACGGAGATTTTTCACACGAAAACGGATCTTTTTAAAAACTCCGGCCAAAGTGAAGATCTGCGTTTTCTCCGTTTTGGGTGTCTGCGTGTGGACAGACAAAACCGGAGTTTTAAGGTCCGCAACGTCACTTTCCGCGACAGAAAAATGCTGACATCACGTGTGCGACCTGTGTTTACACTAGCCGACAGCATGGATGCCTTCAGAGCTGCGCTCGCTTTATCAATTGTCCAAGTGCTTTTTGCTTGTTTGTTTTTGCAAGTGGAATTACTGCTCCTTGCGGAAGACCACAGACGAAGGACGAAGTTAAGAACGGGGGAAGTACTGCCGCCTACAGGTCTGGCATGTCCTTAACAATGTATTTATCCGGGTACGTGTGGACAGAGTTTTTTTTTTTAAACGAGGTGGTGTGGATGCAAATTTTTGGAGGGGCGGATATTCGTTAAAAAAAAACCCCGGCTACGTGTGGACTAGGCCTAATACTGTAATATAAGTAGAACCAGGATCTTTTTTCGGGCTCCCCTGGGTGTGTGATTTGAGGCCTTCCAGGGGAGCCTGTCACCCTTTCGGGTGAGCCGGGCTCCCCTTAGCGCCCCCATAGTTCAAACCCTGCTGGTTACTTCCTGTTAAAGGGGAGTTTTCCTTTCCACTGTCGCTACATGCTTGTTTGATATGGGAGTTTCTGTAGTCAAAGATGCCATCTGTTGGGTTTCCTTACATAGAAATAAACTGTGAACTAACTGGAATGATGTACTGAACTCCAGTGGAACGTTTACTTTGTGAAATGCCTTGAAACTACTCGTGATTTGGCGCTTTGTAAATAAACTGAGTTGAAAGTAAACCACGGAGAAATGGCGCAGGAGGAACTACTGCGTGAAGCGAAGGTTCTGCCCGGTCTGTAATTAGAGTAACACTCCGCATGGCCGTACGCCGTGCTGGCTCTGACGTTTTGGGTTTGTTCTAAAGGAAATGTTTGTTAACAACGTTTCTAGACGCGTTTTTCTCCGCTGTAGGAACGTTAGCAGGTAGGTCTGCTGGATTCGCGTCTCAGGACGAGGAAGCGACTGAGCAGAACCGGAAGGCCAGGCTCCGTTTCAGAAACGCACGTGTTTAGTTTACGTAGGTTAGCGTAAAGCACCCTGCCCTCGTGCGCGTATCTCTCCGTAGATGGGAGTCTTGTTGTGTGTTGGGGTTTTCGGCTTGTGATTTATCATCTGAATAATCTCTCAAGTCTCAGTTTGGACGTCAGCTGCAACAAAGTCACGTGGTACTGAGTCTTTTACCAGCAGGTTAGAAATTGGACCTATTCAGGTTGAATCTGCTGTTTCTTGCTCACAGACTGGTTTGCCACTTTGGTTCTTCTTCATGCTAGGTGGTTGCGCTTCATCGGGACTTTCCATGGAAGGTTTGCAAGAGAAGCTCAAAGGTTTGTCTGTTGCCCAGCGAACTCATCCTGGGGAGTCCATCTACTTGCTGCATGCTGCCCAGAACCCAGCTGACCTGCTGGCTGTGTCCTGCTCCAACTTCACCATCCACCTGCACAACAAGGACACTCTGAAGCTCTTGGGAGAGTACCAGGTTCACAAAGGGCCTCTCTGTGGCCTCACATTTGCTCACACCTCGCCCAACCTTCTCTACTCTGGATCTGCTGATGGGACGGTCCGATTGTGGGACGCGCGTCGGCCTGGGACCGATGCAGTCCAGGTGTTCAGAAGCGACCCGTCACACTCTTACTGCAGCTTTGACCTGAACTGTAGTGACATGCTTCTGTGTGCCGGCACCGAGCAGGTGAACGGTGAAGACAGCTTTTTGGTCTTCTGGGATTCTAGAAAAACGGGGGATGGGCTTCTTGGAGTATACTCTGAGTCACACAGTGATGACATCACACAGGTGTGCTTCCACCCACGGGACAAAGATCGCCTGGCCTCCGGCTCCACAGATGGTCTTGTTAATGTTTTTGACCTGAGCCGAGGAGCGGAGGACGAGGCTCTGCTGGTCACCTGCAACAGCAACTCCTCCGCTGGCACCGTGTGCTGGGCAGGAGCAGACTTTTCCCAGCTGCTGTGTCTCAGTCATGACGAGGGACTTCACCTGTGGGACGTTGGTCGGTTGGAAACAGACGAGCCTCTCACCATCTTCAGCTGCTCCAATGCTCGCAGCCTGACCACACTGGCTGATGGAGGAGGACTGGATTACCTGGTGGGTAGCCAGTGGCTAGAGGAGGCTCAGGCTCTGTTGGTGGTGGGTGGGAGGAGCAACGGGGATCTCCACCTGCTGGACTGCAGCAGCGGGGGTCTTCGCCTGATGAGGAGCCTTGAAGGTGGCCACACCACCACCGTGCGCTGCTTCCTGTGGGATGCAGGACGAGAGGCCCTCATCACCGGTGGAGAGGATGGTCAGCTGTTGCTGTGGAAACCAGGAGGGAAGCAGCTCATTATGAGAAAACAGCATCTGACCAAGAGCAATTCTGCTTTGAAAATGAAATCCAGACCTCATAAAAAACATGTATACCAGAGAGAGAAGAGGACGTAGATGAAATGCCGTCAGCAGACACTGACGGTCATTTTTTAATTCTTATCTTACAGAAAACAAAACTGGAACATCTTTTCTTACCAGTCTGATTGTTGCTCTTTAGAGAAACATTTCGTTTTGCTGATGCTCTAATGAAATCTGTGCATTTTTATCAGAACAGCTCGGATTACAGCTCTTAAATTGCGTTGTTTTTTGAGATCATCTGAATCTATTAAGTGGTTTTCAGTGTTTGTCTTTTTGCTTTAAATCTAAAACAACAACAGAAGAATCACCAAGCAGGACACAGTTAGATGTTTTAGTTGGAATCGGACTGAATTTATAATTAGACGCCTTTGCAAAGTTTTACCTCAGGGGGACGTTTGATCGAACTGCGAACATGTTTCAGCCGTTTCACTGTTTGTTCAAAAAGGGTCTGTTACTGTTGCAGTGCATCCTTGTTTTAATCAATCAATTCAACTTTTCTCAAATTTCTCACAGTTTCTAACCGAGAAAACAATTTAGGACGATTCTATCCTCAGATTTTAGTGTCATTAACCTGTGAGCGCAAACCCTCGCAGCTGCTCACTCAGAAGCAGACCTGTGAGCGCTGCTCATAAAATGCATCAGAATCCAGCAAACGCGATGGAGGGACCATGATGCTGGTCGTGTTGCTGATGTTTATTCATCAGATTCAGAAACTAGAAAATAATCCACCCATCAGATCCAGAGAGTCTGATGTTTATCATATTCAGGCAAATAAAATGTCTGAGATCTACAAAGAAATAAATCGTGTTGTTTTCATTAAATTTTATATTTAATGTATTGTTTCAGGTAAAAATGAAATAAAAAAATGCGTATTTAATGTGTCTTTTTGTGTTTTTGACCATCTTAAACAGCTGGGACACATCTAGCTACCCATACAGTGTGCTGTAAGAGTGGGCAGAGGGAAAAGCAACAGCATCCTCTGTGTCCAACAACTTTTACTTTCTTGTCCTCCACAGACAGCCTGACAAGCCAGCCTACATGTGAATATATAGTACCTTAGACAGAGCTCAGTTGTGGGACAGAAGCTACGGTTGTCTCTGCACCCATTTGGACATTGATTGGTCCAATCAGAGCAACAAACAACTTTACGTACTCACCGCTATGGATGTCAGTCAGTGGTGCAGTCAGCCATACTCTGTTGAAGAAGACTCAAAATGCATCCTTTTCCTATATGAAGGACTACAGCCTACTGGACAATGGAAGCATCAGTGGTGTGGAACGGCACTGCTTTATAGTCTGTGAGGGTCATTCAAACCAATTTTCAGACGAGGCCCAGAAGCAGCACGCCACGCTGCTAAAGATAGAATCGGGTTCTTTTTTTTGCCACGAGCCGCTTCTGGGACATGTCAGTTTCAAATCAAAAATCAAATCAAATCACTTTTATTGTCACGTCACATGTGCAGGTACACTGGTACAGTACATGCGAGTGAAATTCTTGTGTGCGAGCTTCACAGCAACAGAGTTGTAAAAATACAGTAATGTAAAAACATGTAAAATATAAAAATGGCTAATCTAAATATACAAATGAATAAAGTAAACAATAAGATAAGAGATATAAAATATACAGAGGCTGGTATGTACAAAACAGTGGCATTAATGTACAGTATGGAGTGTGTAATGTTGGAGTTTCAGTAGTGAGGATGAGGTGTCTGCGCCGTGTTCAGCAGTCTGATGGCCTGATGGAAAAAACTGTCTCTCAGTCTGCTGGTTCTGGACCGGATGCTGCAGAACCTCCTTCCTGATGGAAGTAGTCTGAACAGTTTATGGCTGGGGTGACTTGAGTCCTTGATGATCCTCCCCGCTTTCCTCAGGCACCGCTTCCTGTAGATGTCTTGGAGGGAGGGAAGCTCACCTCCAATAATCCTTTCTGCACACCGCACTACTCTCTGGAGAGCTTTGCGGTTGTAAGCGGTGCTGTTGCCATACCAGGTGGAGACGCATCCAGTGAGGATGCTCTCAATGGCACAGCGATAGAAGGTCCTGAGGATGCGGTGGCTCATGCCAAATCTTTTCAGTCTCCTGAGAAAGAAGAGGTACTGCTGTGCCTTCTTCACTGTATTGTTCGTGTGCACCGACCACGTAAGATCCTCAGTCAGATGAACTCCAAGGAAACGGAAGCTGCTCACCCTCTCCACAGCGTCGCCGTTGATGGTGATGGGGGTGTGTATTCCTCCGCTCCTCCGGAAGTCCACTATCATCTCCTTTGTCTTTGTGACGTTGAGGGTGAGACTGTTGTCCTGACACCAGTGGGTCAGGGCGCTGATCTCCTCCCTGTAGGCCGTCTCATCGTCGTTGGTGATGAGACCTACTACTGTGGTGTCGTCCGCATACTTCACAATGATGTTGGAGTTTCTAGTGGCCGTGCAGTCGTGGGTGTAGAGTGAGTACAGGAGAGGGCTCAGCACACACCCCTGCAGAGCACCAGTGTTCAGTGTGACGGGGGATGAGGTGGTGCTGCCCAGTCTGACCACCTGGCGTCTGTCAGACAGAAAGTTCAGGATCCAGCTGCAGAGGGAGCTGCTCAGTCCTAGATGCTGCAGTTTCCTGTCCAGCTTCGAGGGAACAATGGTGTTGAATGCTGAGCTGTAATCTACAAACAGCATTCTCACATACGTGTCCGTCTTCTCCAGGTGTGACAGGGCAGCATGAAGTGTCAGGGCTATGGCATCATCAGTGGACCTGGAGTTTCCACAGTTAACATAGGGCTAGACAGGAAATCACACACAATTTCACTGTAAAACCCCTGGTGAGGTCATCCATTTTGGTGGCCTGAGGATCAGGTCTCTGCTTTTTGCAGATGATGTGGTCCTGTTGGCTTCATCAGAACGTGATCTTCAGCTTTCGCTGGAGCGGTTCGCAGTCGAGTGTGAAGCAACTGGGATGAGAATCAGCTCCTTTAAATCCGAGACCATGGTCTTGATTCGGAAAAGGGTAGAATGCCTTCTCCAGGTCAGGGATGAGGTCCTGCCCCAAGTGGAGGAGTTTAAGTTTCTCAGGGTCTTGTTCACGAGTGAGGGAAAACGGGAGCGTGAGATCGATAGGCGGATTGGTGCTGCATCTGCAGTGATGCAGGCGTTGTACCGGTCTGTCGTGGTGAAGAGAGAGCTGAGCCAGAAGGCGAAGCTCTCGATTTACCGGTCGATCTACCTTCCTACCCTCACCTATGGTCATGAGCTTTGGGTAGTGACAGAAAGAAAGAGATCACGGATACGAGCGGCTGAAATGAGTTTTCTCCGAAGTGGCTGGGCTCTCTCTTAGAGATGAGGTGAGAAGCTCGGTCATTTGGGAGGGGCTCGGAGTAGACCCGCTGCTCCTCCACACGGAGAGGAGCCAGTTGAGGTGGCTCGGGCATCTGGTCAGGATGCCTCCTGGACGCCTCCCTAGTGAGGTTTTCCAGGCACTTCCAACCGGGAGGAGACCTAAAGGTAGACCCAGGACACGGTGGAGGGACTATGTCTCTCACCTGGCCAGGGAACACCTTGGGATTCCCCCGGAGGAGCTGGCCCAAGTGGCTGGGGAGAGGGAAGTCTGGGCCTCTAACCTTAGGCTACTGCCCCCGCGACCCGACTCCGGATAAGTGGATGAAAATGGATGGATGGATGGACCCCTGGTGATTTTCAAAATAAGTCTTATTGCAGCGAATTTCATATCTATGTAGATTACATCAATACATGTGGCCTAGCAGCTTATTTACTCCCTGCATCACTCCAGAAGTGCAGCGGTGTGTTTTTTATGGCTTTAATCTTGGCAGTGGAGCGGAACAACATCAAGCATGATTTACTTCTATTGGGTTTAATTCAATTCAAGTTTATTTATAAATCGCCAAATCATGATGAGTCGTCTCAAGGACCTTCACACAGTAAACATTTCAATACAGGTCAGTTCATTAAGCCAATCAGTAAAAAGTTTCCTATATAAGGAACCCAGCAAATTGTATCGAGCCACCGACTAGTGTCAGAGTCTTTACAGCAATCCACATACTAAGCAAGCATGCAGTGACAGTGGAGAGGAAAACTCCCTTTTAACAGGAAGAAACTGCTGAGCAGCAGTAGCTCAGGTGGTAGAGCGGATTGCCTCATGATCGAAGGGTCATGGGCTTGATTCCAACTCCCGCCAGGGGTACTGTGCTGTTGTGTCCTTGGGCAGGACACCATCCAACTTGCCTGTGTTGGTGGTGGTCAGAGGGACCAACGGCGCCAAATGGCAGCCTCGCCTCTGTCAGACCACCCCAGGACGGCTGTGGCTACAAAGTAACTTACCATCTAGCAGTGTGTGAAAGTGAGAGTGCATGAAAGCATCTTTGAGTGTCCTGAACAAGCGCTATATAAGTTCGATGATGATGATTGTTATTATTTAACCTCCAGAGGATCCTGGCTCAGTATAAGCAGCCATCCGCCATAACTCACTGGGGATGGAGAAGACAGAGAAGACCCCCCCCCCCCCACACACACACACACACACACACTCACACAAACACACACACACACACACACAACAAATAATGTGTCTATGGTTACATTGTGATTTCTTAGTAAATATTCTATTTGGTGAGAGATAAACTTTATTGTATTTATCCTAGTGAATCTATAATTAAACAGGTAAACTAGTAGTAGCACATTCAATGTCAAAGAAAGTAAAAAGTTATTATCAGGAGAGGGAGAATGTTTAAGTGGTTAGCAGCAGTGTGCTAGACGATGGCCCCCTCCATGAGGCCGCCACAGCTCAGCAGAACATCGTTGTAGCTTCTTCTGGGGAGAAAAACACTTAGAGAGAAAATAAAGTTAACAGCTGAAATTGCAGGAAGTAATACAGTTAAAGAGCAGATTGTAGAAGAAAGTAGTCGAGTGTGGAAAGTGTGTCCTTCAGCAGTCTAAGCCTATAGCAGCATAACTACAGAGACAACTCTGGATAACCTAGCCTTTTAGATGGAGGCATGTTGGAGGCAGGGCAAGGGAGAGCCGTCTTTAACGACTGTACACTCCACCTCCCTGTACTCCCCCACTTGTCCAGATTTAGGCTAACATCAGATTTTAACCATAGGCCCTATCAAATAAAAATGTTTTAAGCCTATTCTTAAAAGTAGACAAAGTGTCTGCCTCACGGAATAAAGCTGGGAGCTGGTTCCACAAGAGAGGAGCCTGATAAGTAAAAGATCTGCCTCCCATCCTAATTTTAGATATTCTGGGAACCACCAGTAAACCTGCAGTCTGAGAGTGAAGTGCTCGGTTAGGAACATATGGAACAATCAGATCACTGATGTATGATGGAGCTTGATTATTAAGAGCTTTATATGTGAGAAGGAGGATCTTAAAATCTATTCTGAATTCAACAGGTAGCCAATGTAGGGAAGCTAAGACAGGAGAGATATGATCTCTCTTTTTAATTCTCATCAGAACTCTAGCTGCAGCATTTTGGACGAGCTGAAGACTTTTAACTACATTCTGTGGACTTCCTGAGAGTAATGAATTACAGTAATCCAGTCTTGATGTAATAAATGCATGAACTAGTTTTTCAGCATCACTCCTGGAAAGTATGCTTCTAATCTTAGCAATATTCCGAAGGCGGAAAAAGGAAATCCTACAAACATTTTTAACGTGGGATTTGAATGACATGTCCTGGTCAAAGATAACACCAAGGTTCCTTACTTTGTTCTCAGAGACTAATTTAATGCCGTTGAGGTCAGGTGACTGACTAAGCAATTTTTCCTTTTCTGAATTTCAGGTCCAAAGATGAGAACTTCAGTCTTGTCTTGATTTAAAAGCAAAAAGTTTTGAGTCATCCATTTTTTATGTCTTCAAGACAAGCCTGTAATCTAAC